TTTTTTAAAAAAATTTTAAGCATTTTTGCAAAATTGCAAGAAAACTTTATTCACAAGTGATGGTACAGATCAGAACTATGTTATGGAGGGTGACCGAGGATCTTGTGAGTGAGTATGCGCTGTGTATGCTTAAGAGCTCAGTTCAAGCATCATTTGCTTTATTTCTTTCACAGTCAGACAAACTCACTCCTGTGGTACCTGGGTACCCAATGTTACACAGCATTGGCAAGGACAGGAATTGAAGAGGTAACACAAAGCATCCCAGTTGCTAAGGCAACAAGAGAAGGTAGAAACAGCAGGAGGAAAAGAGAGTGCTTACTTTCTGCCAGTGCTCAGGTCTCTTTGACTTAATGCTTGCATTAAGTGAGTGACCCACTGAACACTCACCCCTAACTCACACCAGATCTGTCCCAGACCACTCTGGATTGGTTTGACACTGAGACTTTCCCCAACTTCCCATTCTTCCCAGGAATCCAGCTGCTGTACCCCTGCCTCTCTTCTTGTCCTTCCCTAACTGCAACCCTGTCCCTATTTCCAATCCCACCCTTGTCTCTAGCTATAAAACTCCCTGACTCAAGTCCTAGCTTCAGTTCCTTCTGAAGCTTAGGAGTATCTTTGAGATAGGCCAGGACAGGGAGCTGCAGAGGAGGCTGGTACTCTGGCTCCTGGTGCTGTGGTTTACAGACTATTTAGCTGTTAATGTGAATATAGACTGGACACAACCCATTATCACTTCCCTTTGGTTCAGCTGTGTCACACTGGAGTTTCACACATTGGAAGTTTTCAAGGGGTCTTTGATGGGCACCGAATCCTCCCTGTAGATGAGAACTTAGAAAACATGTCTTGAGCAGCCTGCCAGGGCTCTGGCTACATTTTTTTTTCCACTTCAAGATCTCCTTGTTCAATATACCAAGGGTGACAGAGTTCAAACTTGAAAATGCTAACTTTAGAGCACCAGAAAAAGATAGATTTGTTGTTATACTAAACCAAAGAACTGTGCCCGTTAGGGGTGAAGACTGTGTGGTAAGTGATTATATTTCAGAGAAAGCTAAGAATACATAGATTGTTCTTTTTGAAAAGAAATCTCAGGGAGTATATGCATGCCAAAGCCTTGTGTGACGCTGCTCCTCCCAAATGCTGCAAGTTTTGTTGTACCTGATGTGTCATTGTTTATTGTCTTACTTTGGTGAAAGGTTGGTGGCCTTGGAATCTGTAAGTGATCCTTGATGCAAATTCTAGTGTGTTGAATATGCTCATTTCATTCTGTGCTTCCCAGTTTATGACTTGATCAGAAAGTGTTGTTGGTGACGATTATTTACTATTGGTTTATCTTTTATTAACACTGCTGTTAATCCTAAACAGCTGTATACCCAAATCACCACACAGAGACTGGGATTTATTTAATTAACCTAGAACACAATGCTGGGCAATAGTTAGTCCATCCTAAACCTCCAAGACCTCATAGTTTCCTAACATTTAGATTTCTCACATTATACTTGCTTTTAGTGATATATTAGGTTCAGTCCATCTCTCCACATCGGTCCAAGATCTCCCCTTCAGCTCTGCTCTCCTAGCTCTGCTCCCGCCCTTTTGCCTCCTGTCTTTTCCTGTCCTCTGGCTCCTCCCCTTTCCTGCCTACTTCTTCCTCTCTATTGCTCAACATTGTGGCTGGTTGATTTATTTTGGATGTTTACGCAAAGTTGAGACAGGTGATGCTTGGAATAAGTATCACAATGCAATATCTGAATTGAAACCAGAGAGCTTGTGTGTGTGTGTGCAGGGAGAGAAATCAGCATTTGAATGAACAAGGGTAAGGTGTATACATTTGAAAAGAACATTATACCAACAAGAAAGCGAATTTTTATCCTTTGTTTTGTAAAATTTGTCCTGTGCAGAGTGTGGATATAGTTAAAGTGGAAAAGACCTTAGGAATTTGGGATAAGCAGGGGTTCATCTCTTACTGTGAGATTATTCATTTTATTACTGAAGTGTCACACATACTCTTCAGTATAGAAACGCACAGGTGTGTGTGTGTGTGTGTGTGTGTGTGTGTGTGTGTATGTATAATATTGTCTGTAGAGAAGGGGAGAGGGGGTAAGAGATAGGGAAGAGAGAAAAGAACATCCCATAGAGATGACCATATTTGTTTTGACTGAGGTGCTTGGACAAAGGCTCCAGAAAGGTCCAGTGATCAGGATGAACCCTAGCACAAAGGCAGAATCATCCCATTTAAACACCTTCAGTCAAGTAAAAAATACTGTTTTTCTAGCACCCACTAGGAGAAAATAGCATGATGAACTTTGTTAGAACATGTCGTTATTATATTATAATAATAATTATTATTTTCACTTTGTCTGGCTAAACTGACACAGTTCAGTCAAACTTTCTCACCTCTGAGCAGTTACGTGTTCTGTCTATCTTGCTTGTTCTAGTCCATCAGCTCTCAAAGCTTGGCTTTTAGCAGACAGGTTCTATTGGGTTTCATCCAGGTCTGATTACATAACCATTGTCAATGTCCTGCCAGCAACCAAGTGGAAAAGAGTGCCTGTGACTCAGGATGTTTTACCAGTTAGTGGCAAGACAGACTTTGTTTTCATGCTTATTTGACTTGTGTCTTTGACCCTTACAGCCGAGGTTACTGCTCCCTGTCAGGCAACAGCCACTTTGAAGATGTACACTCTGTACTTTCCTCCGTTTGGAGGGTCAATGGGAAAATGCTCCAGAACTCAGAGTTTGCTCTTTTATATCGACAATAAAAATCTTCCCCTTAACCATACCATGGAGCAGTCATGTTGTCAGTTTGTACACTACCTTTCACATATCTCTGAATCTTGTGGGGAGTGGGTCCTTATTCTGTGTCCCATGAGTCAGCACCATAATATCGAGATCAATTCTTATTGCTTGGGCACCAACAGTCTGATCCTTCTCGTTGCAGATGGAGCTACCTCTTTCAACAGTACATACTTTATGCAGCACTTATTCTTTTGGAGCCACTTGCAAGCAGTGTTTACTGGCCCAGTATCATCTCCATTCCCGTGGCGTAGATGAAGAAGCAGGCTCAGGGACAACAGCTGTATCTACGCAGAAGAATGGCTCAGAGATCCTTCCATCTGAGGAGTGGGGGAGTGTTGCAAGGTGGAGGAATAAGCGAGGCACTTTGCTTATAGTCCAGATTCTATGGCTGGGCACTGACCTAGACGTGGTGCTGAGCCAGCGTCCTTGTTTGCAGCCCGGCCCCACTGTTTGTCACCTATGTAGTTAGTCATTGCTGTAATGCTGACAATGACATCATCTGATAACTCTGACAGCATTACAGAAAATGGAGAGTGCCGATGTGCAGGTAGAGTCCTGGGGGTACACTTTTACCTTGGACTCCCCTAAACCAAGAACCACACCTCTCAAAGGACTCCTATTCCGCCCATGTGACCTTTTCCACAAGGCCACCCTAGTTAGACAGTCTCTGGCCTCTTGGGATTCATCTGTAGCCCTACAGAATACCCTGTAAAGGGGTCAATGCCTAGTGCCATGTTTAGAATGCATAAGATACTACCTTCAGGAGGAGTTCAGAGGGGGCAGGTCACATGAGGGATCATGAAGGGCTGTGGAGATGTTCCAAATGAGACTGGGTTGCTGTTGAAAGGAATAGGCTAGCTTTACAGGTTTCTTTATAAATTCTATACCCCATGTTAAACTAAGTTCTTCCAGCACTTTTCCAGAAAGCAGGAGGAGGAGCTGGTGAATTGAAACAAGACCCCATCCCGGTTGCAAAGGAATGCGAAAGGCCTCCTCCTCGCTGTGGAGGAGTGTCCAGATCTGCAGTACCGGATAATGTTGCCTGGTAACCAGTCCAGATATCACAGCTCCCCCACCCACATCAGGGCGGGACCAGATAGACTTGGCACCTAAGATGAACCAATCATTTTAAAAGTCAACTACTCTACCCAATCCAGTGTCGCCAAGCTTGCAGCCTCCAAGATTTCCACTCCCCTTCCTTTAAAAACCTCAGCCTTCCGTCTCTCCTGGCTGTTCCTCTCTGGTTTGGGGGGGGCGGTCAGCCACATTGCGATGGCTCAACTTCTTGCAAATTGCATCGATTCGGCCTCCTGAGTTCTCTTCATTCTCTCTGAAAATTAGGGTCCCCCTAACACTGTGTGTTCTGCTTGGCTCTGTGCTTGCTGATTTTGTGTATTACCCTGAGTGCGCATCTATCCAAGACTCAGGCAGATGTTGGGGAGATCGGGATCTCTCAGTAATGAATTCCCTCCACAGTTTGATAAAAGAAGAAAGTATGTTCTTTCCCACAACCTCCCCTGACTTAGGACACTTCTTCTGTTTTCCTTAGCCTCTAGTTATACCTTACCTCAGACCTCAAGAAGCCAAGTGACAGAATTCACAGAACTTAAGACCAGTGGAGGAAAAGAGCTTTGGGGTCCTTACAGGAGGTAACAGTGAAAAAGGAGGGGCTATCTGTAGAGGAATCTTGGCTGAAGAACCCTGGACCCTGGCAGTGATTGGGACTCCTGGGGAATCCTGTTTTTGTCCTTGGAAAGGGATGCACATGGTCTCCCGTGGAGGAGAGCCTGAGGCTCTACCCTGGGGCAAGGGTAGAGGATACCTCCTGAATTCCTGGAGGCCAGGCCTCTCAGTGACTCATGGTAGATTTAAATTAGGACAAGCAGCAGCAGCAGCATTGCTGGAGAGGAGTTGGGGGAAGACAGTGGACTTTTCCACAGCAGGAAGGACAAGATGGTTTGTCAGGTAAGCGTTGCCACCAAGCCAGAGCTGAGCTCAGTGGAATCCTCTTGTCCTCTGGTGCTCTTGCAGGCTCTGGGCAGAGTTTCCTTTCTGCACCACTGTGTTCTGGCTGTTGAATGCTTGTCAGGGCTCTTGCAGATGCTGCTGTGAAAAGGGAGAGTCTGACCCCTGGAGTATCTCAGTTGACAACCAGGGAAGATTATGGAGAGTGAACATTCATCCACAGAATGACCCACCACACAGGGTGTTATTCAGGTCGATATTTTATTACCACAAACCCGAGTCCAGGAATTCACTATGGCCATCTAAAGAACAAAAGACTTCCAGGAAGGGCAGTAACTGAATTTGAATGAACAAAAATGTTGGGGTCTTGGTTTTTTCCTCCACACTTACCCTCTCTACATTCCATCCTCACCCCACCCCCCCCCCACCCCAACAGCCAAGGATTTCTGTCAGGTCACAGAGATGCTCTGGGTTGATGCTGCTCATATCTGACCAAACTCTTTGTTTCGAAGTTCCTTCCTTCTGATTTTGCCCGTGACGGTTTTGGGCAGTTCTGGAACAAACTCGACCTGGTAGAGAAAAGAGCCATCCTGACTTAGGGCTTCTGTGGTTTCCTTCCAGTTCCCCACTTCCTGCTTCACCCCACCTCCCTGTGCAAGCTGGCTTCCTATGGTGACCTTCATGGGGCCACTGAGTACTGCAGCTCTCTCCTGACCCTGGAGGAGGGTGTAGTCGCATAACTTACTTTGCCCCATGAGTCCTGAGTGGAAGTGAAATGTGTTCTCTCTGTGCAGAAGAGTTTGGAGCCGCTATTATTGGCCACTGTCTTCTCTGTTTCTTACAGGACGAGGCAGGTGCCTCTGTGGCAGCCCCATCCCAGAATGAGGGACGTGAGGCAGAAGTTGTAGAAGAGCCATGACAGACGTGAATAACAGACCTTCAAGGCCTTGGCCTCCATTGTTTGGGGTGTTGTGCTACATTCATACGTAACCCTGTCTGATTGGAGGTAAGGTTTTCTGCCCTCTGTAAGGGCAAGAGCCTGGACTAATGTAAAAGGCTGGTTTTGTTGCCACACATACTTTTGAGTTCTGATGCTCCTCTTAGTGAGTGAAACCTCAGGCAGCTTGAGCCTGAGCTTCATCTCTATAAAACACGTGTAGACTGTGGACAGGCTTAAATAATGGGACATCGGGGCTAGAGCGTGACACACACAGTAAGTATTCTAGTTCACAATATGTGTTAACCCTGAAGCTCCCTAACATGTGTGCCTCAATGAACAGGCAGATGGTATAAGAATGCACTGCATCAGAGGAAAATAATGGCTTTCTGACACATTTGTCTGTGTTCTCTTCATTTAAACAAGCAGGGCAATACTAGGCATATTCCTTCGGAGCTTGCTTTCCCCCTTGTTAGATTGATAAGGCATTTTATGTCAAAAATAAAATAACCTGAAACTGGGCATAACGGCACATGCCTGTGATCCTGACCCTCAGAAGGCTGAGGCGGGAGGATTGCAAAGTTTGAGGCTAGCCTGGGTTACACAAAGAGACACTGTCTCAAAAATAAAAGAAAAATAAAAACATAACGTAGCATAACATAAAACACAAAACAAATTTTACCACCACCTTAAATTATAGGATGGTTTTCAATTTTGTGACAAGACCAACTTACCATTATTGGACATTTTTGCATGCTTGCGCATGGCACTTACATGTAACAAAATAAACACCTCAAGATAGATTGCATGTTCTAAGAATAAGGACTTTTTTCTTTTGTTAGTTTTATATATGCATGTTATTGAGGTTGAAAATAGGGTTTGCTTCTTGCCACGGATCACATTAAAAAGTCTGAAAAGTGTTGATTTTGATTTCTTCTTAAATTTTACAGGATAACAGATAACATTTTAAAAAACACTTTTTGGGCACTCTCCTGATCTTTTTCTCTTGGTTAATGTGCACCAGTATGTTCATCTTTGCTTTCTGGTACAGGATAGAGATGCCCCAAGAAACAAAACAACTGAACTGCCCATACCCCACTATGGCTGCCCTCTGAGAGGTGAGGGAGCCAGTGGGAACCCATCCAGCCTGGCTCACCTTCCTGGGGTACTTGTACGGGGCCGTCACTGACTTCACATGCTGCTGTAGCTCTTTGGTAAGCTGTTCCTGATCATGTGACAGGAACTCTGGGGTCAGGACAATAAATGCCTTCACTACCTGCAGAATGGAATTGGAGGTCAGATGGGTCATACAGAGGTGGCTAAGTCAACGGACAAAACCCACTGTGGGCTCAAGTTGATGTTTGAGACCAGAGGTAAACGTGGAGGGCTTTGGGAAAGGAGAGGACCAGGTTCAAATCCATGCTCTCCCCATGTCCACTCCATGCACTGGAAAAACACCTGGTCTCTCCTAAACTTAACTTTCTTCTCTGTGAAATGGGAACAATAAATAAAATAAAATAAAATAAAATAAATAATTTAAAAAAATGGGTACAATAGAACTTCATTCCTCACAGGGTTTTTATAAAGAGTAGATGAGAACACAGAGAACGTAGGAAACATATGGCCTGCTTAGATTCATTACTCCTACCATCACCATTATTAATATCAACATGCATGTGTTGTGTGCACTGTTTTGTGTCTGCAACTCAATGGGCAATAGTAATGACGGTAACAAAACAGCAGCGACTGTTATTAACAACGTCGCAATAACTCATTTTACACCAATTCTATCCCCACCTACCCACTTGCTTGGACAAGTCCTGGTACACAGAAGTGTTCAGTAGACATTCTTGAGCCAATGAATGCATGTTCTGAAGCGTGCATTTGTGTGTGTGTGTGTGTGTGTGTGTGTGTGTGTGTGTGTGTGTGTGT